AGGGAACCACCTGCCCTGCGTGCCAGAGTACAGCCGCTCCACGGAACGTTCCACACGCTCACGTAACTCGGAAGCCATCGAAACCTACTCCTGCACCGCCTGAGGCCGTAAGCCGCGGAAAGCTGCGGTCAGTCTTGTTTGCTTCTCTGACGTGCATTATCCATAAATCCACCATCCTCGGGTAACTCTGTCCACACACCCATCCTGCCACCCAGCCCTGTGTACGCTGGCACATCCACTCAACCACCTCTCCATCGCTCCTACCCGGCTGCCCGTCCTTCCCCCTTCATTCATCGTCCGGCTAACAACGTCTCTCCCGGTCCTCCCGCTCCGAAAACGCACACCAGCTCCAACCTCCTCCTGCCTATCTGTTCATCTTCCATTCTTTCTACACATCCATTCACTTGTCATCTCGCCATCAACCTTCTCCTCCCAAACAGCTCTGCCCTCAGCCCGTCCATTTGACAGATCCCTCAGTCTAAACCAGGCAGGGGGAAGCACGTGCATAAACGTCCCTTCCAACCCCTTAAAAACTCCTTCCATACCTTAAAGAGGATCTCGGTTGTCATGGTGAACCCGTGAGTGATGATGGGCTCCTCATCTGGGGGACGGCCTTTCCAGCAATCCAGCTCCACGCAGCGGCAGCCAGCCAGCAGCGTCTGGCGGTACATTTCGGGAGACGAGATACCCGAGAACTGACCGGCTGGGGGAGAGCAGGAGAGAGGCTCGACATCAGCTACTCACACGGGACGGTTTCTGCATCGGCTACAGAGCGCTCTGCCATCCTCCAGCGGGTGTCCGTGGCAGAGCGCCAGGACAGTTTCAGTTACAGGGTGACACTTCTTGGACAGCATTTAAGTGCCCAGCCCCTCAGAGTGCATTACAGCCCTCAGCCCCCCGAACTCCAGGGCAGGTAAGTCTGCCAGACTGATGGTCGGCATCACTCGTCCATCCCGGGGGTGGTACGTATGTGCTGGAGCCGAGATGGCCTCTGGCACTGTCCCTACCTGTTAAATAGGTGTTGTGGGATGAATTGATGAAGTAGTGTGAGAGCGGCTGGGTCATGTCCTGGTACAGCACCAACTTGTCCAGTGCTATCACGTTGTTCTCAGGGCCACAGAGAAACCAGACCATTCCCTCTGGAGACAACTGCCCTGCAGGGAAAACAGAGCTGTTAACGGTACCCAAACACCACGGTTCTGGCACTAGTGCACTGCAACACGGGGACTTGGGAAAATCGGGCTGACTGATCCCCTGGGAAAGTCAGGGCCGCAGAAGGTGCGTGAACCTCTGCTCCTTTCACACTGCCTCTACAGCAAGACTTTTGGGCTGAACTGGACTCACCTCTCTGGATGTTAATCCCACTGGGCTCATACTTCTCTATCAGGCTCTGCACCTGCTCGGGCTTGGCGGGTGGGAAAAGGATGTCATTGAGGCGAGAGTCGCGCTGCTTCTTGTTGATAAACTTTGCCAAGTGCTCTTTGGTCATGTAGGGCTTTGCTTTTAAATGGCTACGGTGAGAGAATCACAGAGGAGCAGAGGTAAGGCCTGTGGATTACCCAGAAAACCTCTTCACAAGAGAGGTTGGTCCCTCCTCGGGTTAGCAATGGCGCCACAGATTTCTATTCCTAACCCTATCCGCTTCTTCCTATAGAAGATGCTTCCCACTGCAGCCTTTCTTCCTCCTAACCCATTCCATACTGTGAAGAGGCTGTGCTGAGGGGCACACAAAGCATATTATGGGCCTCTGACGCAAACTCTGAAGGGCCCCGGATCTCAGAGCACGCAGAATTGCTTGCCCCGAGATCGAGTCCATTTAAGAAGTCACAGATTTAGCTACTTGAAAAGGATGGCGGCTATTTGTGAGGATCTATGGCTCTCACGCTGCACGTGGCCTTGCCTGGGGCTGGCCACAAGCAGTATCACGTCGGCAGGATCTAGTGCTGACCTGGAATCAAGCCTCCCGACGGTGACAGTTACGAGTCCTGGCAGCACTGAGGCCTCATCCCTTTTACTCAGGCCACGAGTCAAAGTGTCAAGCGCACTGGCACAGAGTCGTGACCTGTGTTCCCGCCCTTCTAAGGCTTGAGACCACACAGCGTAAAACCCCCTCGACCCTCCTTTTTGCCTATCTTTTGCCACAAGTGATCAAGTTCTCTGCTGTGGCTGGAGGAAAACTTACTGCGAGGTAAATATCTCATCGATCTCGGGCCGTGGACACAGATTCATGAGGAACGTTTTATACACCGTCTCAGGGAAGTCCTCTGGGTTGATGGCATCGTTCTGAGAATGCAATGAAGACGTACCAGGATCATTAACCCATGATGGCTTTGACCTCTCCAGTAACCCCCGCAGCCCAGCACTTGTTTGGGACAACGCAATGTTTGGAACACCTGGGAAGGCGTTTAGGAAAGAGCAGGCGGAGCGGAGAAGCCCCGAAATGCCCTGCTGCAGAACAGACGGTTATTTAACCTGTCCCTTGGTGCCTCTCGTGTGACTGTATGAAGCTCAAGCACGACGCAGCGACACGAGCTGCCAGAGGCCTGGACTGTGCTCTGCGGGCTGGCAGAAGCACCAAGATCAACCGTCAGATGCGCTGCTGTGGAGAGCAGACAGCGAGACAGGCGGAGGGGGACGTGCTGCTGCTCGTGCCGCGCAGCGTGACGGAGTCGCAGGCGTCCCCGCAATACAGACATTGAGCGTCGGTGCTGCCACACTCGCCCTTGAGCCGTGGCAGCAGTGGTAAGAAGGTTTCGCAGCAACGGCAGCGTGACGGAGTCGCAGGCGTCACCGCAATACAGACAGCGAGCGTCGGTGCTGGCACACTCGCCCTTGAGCCGCGGCGGCAGTGGTAAGGAGAAGGTTTCGCAGCAATGAACACCACCTGGGCTGATGGTGTTTTCATAGCCAAGGGCATCAGTCAGGGTTGGCAAAAAGACGATTCTTGAACTAGCGAGACTTTTGGCTACCGAGTGACACCTTACCTTGCCCTTTGGAAGATGACAAGCGCTTAATGCTGCTTCCACCCTCTTCCTGTCTGCAGGAAACATCTGAAAAATACTGACCAGAGAGGGAAAAAAGAAATCACCGCACTGGAATGGGAGTGAAACCCGAAAGCCTGGGTTCGGGGGGCTGGGAGCTGCTGGCAGAGCACAAGGCACTCAAAATGCACAGCGAGGGAGACTGACGAGGACTGTAAACACGGACCAGAGGACAGACCATGTTCTTCCAAGGGAGGAACTGACCTACCAAGCCATGAAAACCTGCACTGGATTCTCCAACTGCTGCCTTAACAGCGAAGTTCTGTATTTCTGCTACGGACTCTGCAAGAGCCCTGCCACTAAACCACATCAGCTCCCTCTCCAAATCCCCCTCCACCATCCTTCCTCAGCCTCCTGGGGGTGCCCTCTGAGGGGGGAGACCTCGTGCCACAAATTCCCCTGGACACTTCCCCCACAGGACACCGCCCCACGCGGCAGCTGGCGTCAGCAAGTAGTAACCCTGTAGTCACGACAACGTTCAAAGAAACACAAACAAACATTGTGCGTATTCGCTGCTTTGAAAGGCAAAATTTTCTGGATCCAAAGGCTTTCTTTCCAGGAATTTGAGAAGCAAACTCATTACCCTGGCAAAGAAGCTGGTACGCTACATGGGCACGGGAGTGTTGGGTTGATGGTTGGACTGGATGATCCGATAGGTCTTTTCCAACCTCAGTGATTGCGTGAGGATGGAAGCACAAAAGTCCTGCTGCAGCAGAAACAGAGCTCAGGCCCATGCGGAAAGCTGGGTCCTGCTCTGCAGGGCAGGATTCCCCCCAGGCAGCCCCTTGGCTGCACCATGGAACAGCAGCGACAACCGAACTCCCCTACTTTCAGAATACCCCTGTCAGCAGCAACGAGGTCTTCTCCGTGGATGGATTTAGGTGTCAGCTGTTAAGCTCCCGGCACACAGGTGCTCGCAGCCGAGAAGGGGAGTGCAAAGTGCCGAGCGTGTCGGCAGGCGGAAGCGTTCCGCGGGAGCTGAGCCAGTTTATGCAAACTCAGTGTGCGCCGGCTCCCGAGCTGCCCTTTGCAAGGCAAAACCTGCAGCGCCCCTGTGATGATCCAAAAGGGATTGAAATGTCTAAAGAGAAAGGCGGATGCTCAGTGGAATTTCCAGAAGAATTCCAACGTGGGGTTTCAAAAGCCTTACACGCACCTGCACCCGGAGATACTGCCTGTGTTTCATAAAGCTGGCTCTTACTCCGGGCTATTTAATGGTCTGATGCTCTACACAGTGAAGCATTTTTACCACTCTGCAAGAAAGGGACCAGGGCACTGAAGAGAGGCACAGCCTGTACCAGGTTTGTTCTTGAGCTTATTTCAGAAGAATAAGCTGTTTCCCCTCGGCGGTAACGCCACCTCGCTGGCGCTTTAAAGACCCATTCGAAGTACCCTCCTGTCGCACGAGTTACTCGTTGAGACCTCTATGTGTTTAAAAGCCCTTTGATGAATACACTGGTGCCTGACAGAATGAGATGCTGCTGGCTGGTGTTTGCTTTTGTTAATTATTTCTCGGCAAGAGCCAGGAAGTGAAATCCACAGCTGTTCAAGGCAATATCTTGCTGTAGATGGAGGCCACAGAAGATCTCTTCCAGACCCAAATTGTGTCCCAGGCCCGCCCTTGGGAAGAACCTAGGTACAGCAGGAGTCCTTTCATGGCCTGAACCCAGAGGGAACAATCCCTGCCTCTTTGGTGCAGACAGAGCAGGCAGTTGAAGCCCCCGGGCAGCCGCTGCTCTGCCTTCGGCCCAACTGAACACACCAGAACACACATCCATACTCACTTCCTGACAGGAATCTTCCCCTCTGCATTAAGCTGCATCTTCAGCTTCACCAGGCTGTGAAAAAAACCCCGAGATTATGAAAATGCACTTGTAGCAGCATCTCAGAGGTCCTGTTAATCAAGGAGGAAGAAAAAAAAATACATGCAATTGGGGAAATAATTAATAGTCAACTGAAAATCAAAGTCCTGCAGACCATCAGCTTAACCTCAGAACCTGTTTCTCTGGAAGGAGAAGCAGACAAATAAGAGCTTAGATATCAGGAAGATTCCTCTGAAACCCAAGATACATCCCTATCTCCTACTATTTGGCATTGCTCAGCGATCCCAGCTGCCAACAAACGGCATTACTGAGCTAGAGGCAGCACCCTGTTGGGGTGAGCGCTGTGACCGCGCCGGGAGGCTCACGTGAGGCTCTGCGTTTCAGTCCAGCTGTCACGCAGCACATGGCCCAGCTGCCAGCCCGTGCCCTGGGGCTCCTGAGCTGACACCGGGCTTGTTCTGGAGGCTGCCAAAGCACCTGGATGCCAAGGAGCCTTCTCCTTCTAGTACAGGCAGAAAGGGCAGTACCTGGATGTTGCAGAGAATAACGTTTGTCAGGAAGCACTTACATCTTCTCCAGGAAGGTGTACCGGGAAGCGTTGAATGTGAGGGGATTCTGAACGATGGCCATAATGTCCTCAGCCCAGCTCTGGGAACAAGCACACAGGAGGCAGTTTGGTTTATGGAACCGCATGAAGAAATGCACAGCATCACACAGGAAAAGGGCATAGAACAACAGACCGGTTTGGGTGGGAAGGGACCTCACAGCCCCCCCAGCCCCCCCCCCTGCCATGGGCAGGGACACCTTCCATAGCCCAGGGTGCTCCAAGCCTCATCCCGCCTGGCCTTGGACACTCCCAGGGATGGGGCATCCACAGCTTCTCTGGGAACATGTCCCAGTGCCTCCCCACCCCCACAATAAAATATTTCTTCCTTACATCCACTCTGAATCTGCTCTTTTGCAGTTTAAAGCTGTTGCCCCTTGTCCTGCTGCTACAGCCCCTGGTACAAAGGCCTGTCCCGGGACTGCTGGGCTCCAAATCCCCACAACTGAGCTCCGGGCTTGGCTGTATCACCTCTATATACTGATACACCAGCAGCTGAAACCTTTCCACCAAGCCTTCTCAGCTGCTGCTTAGCCACCCAAAGCACATGACAGACAGAAATGACACACTGCAGTTCTTCCCTCTCCATGCAGGGCATAAGTTTCTAGGTCTACGGAGGTACCACACCTTACTGGAACATAAACCTGCTTGTTTATAATCTCTCCAGTACCACAGACAGGGGTCAGGTTCCCTGTCTTCCCCCCTCCTTCCCTGCTCCCCCGCTTCACGCCCCAAGCCCTCAGTGTTTCCCAGTGCCCTCAGACCCGATACCTTGCCAACATTCTCCTTGTAGGACACAAAGTTATGGAAAGTGAGGTCCACCATGTCGGGGCCGGATACAATAGTCAGTGTCTTTAGCAGGAAGTCGCTGTGAGGGTAATCCAAGTTAAAAACCTCGCGGAGCTTCTGGCACTGCACAAGAAACAAAACAGACAGGGATGAAGGGAGAATGAGGCAAACTACACCTGGAAAAAACAGGACCCAAACCAAACAGTGACCCAAATTCCCAGTGAGCCTTTCAAGGGTTGACAAAATTGCTCAATGTCATCCTCCTTTCCCTGGCTTCCTTATTTTCCATCTCTATTCTGGAGCGTGCATTTCCTGGATCCTCCGTGGAACAGAACGCTGTGACCAACATCACTGCACGGACACTCAGGTCTGAGAACGCCAGAGCTGGAGACTGCTCTTGAACAAACCCCTCCGAAACGTCAGCCTGAACTCGCAGAGCAGCCGGTGAGTGCTTGGCCCGCTCCCGCCAGCAGCACATACCCAGGCTACTGCAGCCATCCGTCTGTCACCACACACACCTTTGCTGCAACCTCCCTCCACCACCGGAAAGATGCTCTTTGGGACCCAGGTCTAGCAGCTTTAGCCCTGGTTACTGGCGGGATGGGCTTTCTCCCTCCAAGTCACATTTTCTGCTAGCTGCCCGTTGGCAGAAGTGGTTTTGTCCACAGCAATTACAGCATCCACAGCGACAGCTCAGAGTTGATTTTGTTAAGGATACGGCTCATCCAATTAGCCACACTTGGATTTCATCACCACAGGAAAAGTATTTATAGAGTCTCTTTGAATTATTTTGGATTTTCTGCATCCCTACGTAAGGCATCACTCAGTCAGGGTATCCTGGAGTTGTGCTGATGGTGGCTGCTCACATCCCAAGGACCAAATTCCCACGTCCTAGCATAAAACACAGCAATTCCTGATCTGAAGTGCCGGGTAAATCCCTATCAGGGCAAACAGGAGGCTGTCAGAGCACCTGCTCCTTCAGAATCTAGGGGCAAAATTGATGACCAGGGTTGTTAGCGGCGCAGGTCAGACTCTGAAGTTGAGCTGGGATCTCATTTTGAACATGAGCCAGCAGTGTGCCCAGGTGGCCAAGAAGGCCAACGGCATCTTGGCTTGTATCAAAAACAGCGTGGCCAGCAGGTCCAGGGATGTGATTCTGCCCCTGTACTCGGCACTGGTGAGGCCGCACCTCGAGTGCTGTGTTCAGTTTTGGGCCCCTCACGACAAGAAAGACATTGAGGTCCTGGAGCGTGTCCAGAGAAGGGCCACAAAACTGGTGAAGGGTCTGGAGAATATGTCTTATGAGGAGCGGCTGAGGGAACTGGGCTTGTTTAGCCTGGAGAAGAGGAGGCTGAGAGGAGACCTGATCACTGCCTACAACTCCCTGAAAGGAGGTTGTGGAGAAGTGGGTGTTGGTCTCTTCTCCCTCATGACAGATGATCGGACGAGGGGGAATGGTCTCAACCAGTGCCAGGGGACGTTCAGATTGGACGCAAGGAAGAAGTTCTTCATCGAAAGGGTTATCACACACTGGAACAGGCTGCCCAGGGACGTGGTGGAGTCACCATCCCTGGATGTGTTTCAGAGACGGGTGGATGAGGTGCTGAGAGATATGGTTTAGTGGTGGACAGATACGGTTGGACTGGATGATCTCTGAGGGCTTTTCCAACCTAGTGATTCTATGATCTGCGCTCTGCTCTACGCACAAGCCTGCAGGCAGACACACGGCTGAGCTACCGCGGTTGGCAACGCCTTAACGCACCAGACCCCATGCTGACTTCAGCGGGAGGGGTTCAGCTGAAGGCCTCTACCTCCGTTTGCTGCAGGCTCAGAGCACAGACGATGCCCGCCGCGGCGGCTTGGTAAGCGGACGTCTGAACCTCTGCGGGTCGCAGAAAGCGAGCTCCGTGATCCCGGCCTTCTGCAGAGCTCCATTTAACCCAGCCCCGTACACGCAGCTATCCCTTTGCATCCCACTGCGACCAAATGTCTCCACGTCTGCCCCAGAATCTTCTCTTCCGCTTGGACTGTAACAGCGGAAACTCCCGAGGAGCCCGGCTTCAGGCCCTCCCAGGTGTCGGCTCCACGTCACGCAGAGCCGCACGCACCTTCCACGTGAGACCCTGCAGATTTCTGCCCCTGCGTTTTCCCCAGTTCCTGCAGCGGCTGCGGTTCTGACACGCCTGTAGCAAACCGGCATCTTCGGGAAAACCAGGATGGCCCGGATTGTAACTCCAGACCATCTGACTGCCCTCTCATTCCGTAACCCCGGCTCTCCGCAGGGGCAACTCGGAAACCTCTACAGTCCAGGAGCGTTTGGAGGGCGAGAAGGGGGAAAGCGCCCAGCACCCACATCTGCCATCTTCTGACAGCCAGGGAATTTCTAACAGGCCTCACTGTCGCCCTGTGGGCAGTTTTCCCTCGCAGACGCGGGTGGTGCCCGCTTGCCCACACCTTCCTTCCGCGCCCACTGCGACTTCTGATGGAGCTGCGCTCGTCACTACGAGCGGCAAAGCGTTAGGATTTTATCTCCAAGTTTGAAGTTCATCTTGCAAACCCGCTGGCATTTGTTCAGCTTCCTTACCTCTAGTGGTGTAAAGTATACGCAGCGAAGACAATAGAGAACTTGTGGTTTATGCTGAACTCATTTCCTGTATTTGTCACACACGGGCTCCTCCCAGCCCTTCCTTCTCTGCGGGCTGGTGTCGCTGGGCTCTGCAGCGGATGTCCCTGCTCACGCCATGTCCCCAGCAAGCCGAGCGCTGCACCGCAGCGTCTGCCTTCACCTAGCTGCGCCCGCCAGGCAAACCCGACGCGTGCCGTGCGTGGAAGCGGCCTGGTATCCCATCACCTTCCCCCAAAGCTGCTCACGGGAGCCACCGCCCGTGCAGCCTTTTATACGCCACGTCCTTTATCACCATTAACCTCCTGCACCTCGGGGAATCGACAGCTTCGTTTTAGGAGAAGCAAACTGCAGCAGAGAGGGGAAAGGATGATCTGGTTAGGGATCTAAATTGGGTCACATTTTCCCAGCGACTGACTTCGTGCCTGGCCATAAGCGAGTCGCCCGCTTGCTGCGTGCTGCTTACTTCACGTGGATTTACCTCCCTCGGGGACGAACGCAGCGACGCCGGCGTAAGGCTGAATGAAGGCGCTGAGAGAGGACCAGAGGCTGTGTCCAAGAGCCCTGACCCTGATGCCACGTCTTGGCTCTTTGATGACCTGTACTCCTTGGGCTGCCACTTCACTACCTAATTACTTGATGTCACGTTGCCATAAAGGAAAACAGGAATTGCTGCATGAAAAGCAGGACAACCACGTTAGCCATGCAAACCAGAAGGGAAACATGCTTCACCAATCTGCCTACAAAAACACCAAACGGAAAACAACTCACTGGCAGAGTGGCTGAAACACAGATTCAGCCTGCATTTCACTTCCCACCCTCCTCGTTTCCCTAAAATCCTCGTCTGTACGAGCCAGATTCAAGGCCCAGAGAGAAGCAAATTCTCATGCAAATCTAAACAAAGAGCCAGGCCTGACGCAAGGGATGGAGAGAGTCCTCTCGCTACTCGAGACGGATCCAGCCGAGCGACAGCCAGGTTTTGATACAGCTGCACCAACGCCCTGCTCTGACAACTGCGTCTTCATGAAACGCGCTGCGTGCAGTGCTCGGGGTATGAGAAGACAAGGCTTGACAAGTTGTCTCTCTGGGAGAAGAAAAGCCTTGTTTGGTTGCCAGAAGGGAAAGGGAACACCAAAGATTTTCAAAATGCCTTTGGCTCCACAAGTAACACTCCAGTCCTCGTTAGCGGCACTGCTCCATCATGGGACTCGGCACGGGAGCGACTGCTGGGGCGCGGGGAGGGCCATCGTGCCACCTGGGGGTGGCCAGCCTGCCTGTGCCAAGCTTCTCAGCCAGACGAGGCAGAAGAAACCAGGCCGACACTCTCAGCTCACTGCTCTCTTATCTAAAGGAACCGGAAAATGCAGCAGCACAGAGATTCACACAGCACAGAATAACCCGCGGCACTCTGGAACGGAGCAGGAACAGACCGCGAGGGAAGGATGCAGCCTGTGCCTCCTCAGTACCTCCTGTCCCCACGGTCCACGAGCTCACGCTGCGGAAAGATGGCAGAGGCAGCAGAAGGCTGTTACTCAGATGTGCCTGTTTCCCTGCTCACCCCTGCCCCGCTACTTATAAACCCTTTGCAAGCCACAGGCTTTGAACTGCTTTTCTTTCGCACGCCCACGTGTCAGCTGGTCTCCACACAGCTTCTGGTGATCACTCTTGTATTTAGAGGCCTGAACACCTGGCTTTCCAGAGCTCCATCCTGCGCTGAATCCACAGGGCAGCACCGAGATGATGCTCGATCCCAGAGCTGCCACCTTCCCCGAGATGCAGCAGAATAACTCGCCACCCACAACACGTTTACCTGCTTCACCACCTCAAAATACGAGGTGCGAAGTAACTCGGTCCGAGTTTCTCCCCTGTACATGTCCAGCTCAGCATCTGCATCTCTGGGTCCCATAACAAACTGCATATGGAGGATGAAACTGGTTTATAATCATGACAGCCAGAAAATACAACTCCTGGTTTGTATGAGAAATTAGGCTTGTTATAAAGCCAACGCCTGCTGAAATGCCCAACAAAACGCAAGACAAAGCCAACAGCCCAGTAGTCTGGCCTAAAACATCATGTATTTTGGTCCTAATTATTACATTCTCCGCCAGTGCTCTGGGATCTTGCTGCACCAGAAAACAAGCCAACGCAGAGCAGTCGCTGCTGTTCCTCGTTACTCAAAGGAAAACACCAAACTGCGCTGTAAATAACGTTGTGATCTGCTCTGGCACGCTGCTGAACTACGTTCAATAGCTTTTTATCTTGTCTCCTTTATGTTCAAAGTCCCTGCTAATTCTTATCTTTATTACTCTTGAATATCTGCCAAAGTTCATTCTGCCCTCTCTCAAAAAATATGTCCAAAAATCCCACTGCGGAACACCGCGTAGCTCTCTGAAAATAAAGCAGAGGGGGTGAGAAGGGGAGACCTGCACATGCATAGAAGGGGCCAGGGGAGGACTCGGGGGCTGTGTGCACGCTGATGTGCGACCATGCCAGGAGGGGAGGGCTCGGGGGCGAGCAGGGAGAGGGGAGGCTCTGCAGATGGCACGGCTGTCCCTCACCTTCAGGCAGGCTCAGCTCCGGGAGTCACGTCCTCCTGGGGCAAGTACCAGTGGCCCTTCTCATCTGGAGGTGGCTGCTGCTGCCAGCCCTTAGCGACTCGTCCCTTTTCCCAGGCCACACGTGCTCTGCTGGGCACTACGGGCTGACCAGCTGCTCCCCAAACCCTTGCAGGGTCAGGAAGGGGGTCGCACCAGCCCCGGCCTCCCGGCTTGCAGGGACGACGCGTGACCCGTACCGATGAGGGGCTGCTCTGCGTGGGCGCTTCGGTGTCATTCCTCCTGCTGTGGACAGGGCGGTTATAGAGAAATCCCCACGCCTCCTGCGTGGCAGCAGCAGGAAAGCATTACAGAGAGCAGGTAACGCCCGACATCGCGTACAACCCTCCCTTAGCAGGGAGTTGTTTCACCGACACCGGTCTGGAAAGCTCAGGGCATGTTCCACCCCTCTGCAGTTTGTGCCACAGCCGGAAAGCACAGAGACCCCCGCAGAGGAAAGCGATAGTGCCGACGGTCTCAATAAAGCGCCTTCCTGCCTTGGAAATTCCCTCAGCCGCCACTCGGAGGAAAACCGGACGGCGAGCTTTGCTGCACAGAGGCCATGGATCTGCTACGGCATCGCTCGCAAGGAAGGGAGGAGAAGGATGCTCCACTCGCTATTGGTACCATCCAAAGCCCTTCCGGCAGCTGCGATCTCCTCCTCATCACCTTCAACATCACCCATCAGCCCTTCCCCCCCGCTGTCAATGACACAAGGAACCCTGCGTCCTCATTCCAGCCGTCCCATCCCACGGCTGTTCTAGGCCGTGATTTTGTGACGGGGCAGAGCGCACCCTTTTCCACTCTTCTGCCCTTCACCTCTAACACGTTTCGCCCCCTCTCGCCCGCTTTTCCGATTCACACACAGCCGTAGCTGCCCTGGGCGGAGGGTGGGGTGATTCCCGCTGCGGAACGCGCGCCGCTTTCTGCGCTGCTGCGAGCAAACGCTGCTCTGGGGAAAGCCAAGGGGGTGCGCAGCTGAGGGCTCTACACAAGCCCTGCAGAAACAGCCGGGATAGCACAGCCACGCGTCAACAAGAACCCTCCGGGGCCGGGTGGCACGTGTCTCCTGCCGTGCTGGTACAACGGCCGCTTCAGTGCCCACACAAGACCTCCCGTCACCCCGTAAAAGACGGGGGGATGAGGAGCCGGGGTAGCCCCGTCAGAGTCGGGGGGATGAGGAGCCGGCATAGCCCCGTCACACACTGCCACAAAAATGCCAGAAAATCCCCAGAAATTAAAGGGGACTGATTTTACATGGGTCTCAAATGCAGAGCACAAAAGCACCTGGGATTTTCATGGCAGAGATTCTCATCCGGTGCATCACTTCCGCCCGCTGAGGATACTTAATACACCACTTGGCACTTGACCTTTGTTTCTTTGGGAAAAGTGAGCCGCAGCCAATTCCCACAACTAAAATCCTGTCTCCGACCTCTTCCAACAGCTAAAACGCAACAGCTACACCGGGTCAGACCACAGACCCACCCAGATCCTGGGGAAAAGCATAAGACCAGGGCAAACGCAATGACACCTCCCCGACATGTTTCTGCAGCTTCCAGCAGTTTGTAATTCCGCAGCTGCCCAAGCCAGAGGCACTACCTTGCCTTAACAACCCCCGAAGGGCATCTCCCTCTTGTCCTTGTGGAACTCGCACAGGAGTTGTGCGGGAAGGCATCCCGCGGTGACAGGAGGTGTGAGGCGCCAACACCTCCCTTTGCTCCTGCTGAGCCTGCCTTCGGAAGATTCCGCTCGGTGCGTAGCTCTCACGCTGGAAGAAAGACTGAGTAACTGCTTGTGCTCACCTTCTCCATGTGGTTCTACAGCACTCCACCCCCACCCCCCCCATCCTTTTGTTGGCCAGACTACAGTCCGACTACAGTCCCTGCCTACTCGCATGCTCTTCCTACAGCTGCCACTTCACTCTCATCGACCTTGCTGCTCCGCTCCACCTTCTCCAGGTCTTCATCTCACTTGAGGTGAAGACACCGGAACCGCACAGAAATCCGGGTGTGCTCAGGCTGTGCGCAGCAGCAGGATCTCCTGATTCTTTCCTTACAGTCCTAACATACAACCTGCTTTCGTTGAGCAAACACCACGGCGATACCTGACCGTACCCTCGTGATCTTGTTTTGGAGCAGCAATAGTCAACCCAGAGCCTGCTCTTACAGGAGGTGAGGGTTGGGGTTGTTCTGTCCCATGTGCACGACCTGATTTTCATCTGTTCTAAGTTTTATCACTCTTTAGATCATCCAGTCAATCAGCAGTTCAACCAAATCAGCCCTCACTCGGTTACCCCAAAGAACATGGTACCACTGACAAACCTTGCCGGCCTCCGCGCACCTTCTGCGGATCATAGAATCACAGAACGGTTTGGGTTGGAAAGGACCTTAAAGATCATCCAGTTCCAACCCCCCTGCCAAGGGCAGGGACACCTTCCATAGCCCAGGCTGCTCAGGATCGCGTAGGGACACGCAGCATGTCACGTGCCCAAGCACTGACCTTGCTGGGACTCTGCTGCTTCTCCCTCCTCTGAAGGGACACATTTGTTCTTCTCCAGCAGTAATTGTGCATGGAAGGACATCCTCTCCTATTCCGTTCTTTAACAGCCTTTGCTTATGATGGGAATCACAGGGGCCACTTTCCAACCCCACTGAAAAGACTCAGAGCTCCCTATGGGACACAGCCACTGCTCCCCTCCTGCTTTTGCTTCTGGCTGCCCTGGTACTGCTCACAGATTTCCTCATTCATTTCACAAACTTCTTTGGGCTTAAAAAGCCACTTTAGTTCTTCTCTGGCCGTGGACTGCAGCCATCCCGAAACCATACTGTGAACTACTCCTGAAAAGCCCCACTGAAAAGACTCAGAGCTCCCTATGGGACACAGCCACTGCTCCCCTCCTGCTTTTGCTTCTGGCTGCCCTGGTACTGCTCACAGATTTCCTCATTCATTTCACAAACTTCTTTGGGCTTAAAAAGCCACTTTAGTTCTTCTCTGGCCGTGGACTGCAGCCATCCCGAAACCATACTGTGAACTACTCCTGAAAAGCCCGGGGTTGGTCACAGATTTCCTCATTCATTTCACAATCTTCTTTGTGCTTAAAAAGCCACTTTACTTCTTCTCTGGCCAGGGACTGCGGCCATCCCGAAACCGTACTGTGAATTACTCCTGAAAAGCCTGGGGTTGGTCTTGTTTCCAGAGCAATTCCTTGGTTGTGAGCAGGGGCTCGTTACAGGAAGACGCTGTCTGAGTAGAAATTCCTTCTCTCTAGAGGCCACTGACACTGCACTTGTGCCAGCACATTTCTCCTGGTAGTCTCCAATCAGTCTTCCTTAGCTAACTGCCAAAATCTAGGTCAGGTTCCTCCAGCCAGCCTGCTGCCACCACAAGGACATTCACCTGTGGCCTCACTACTTACACCATCCATTTATAACCTCTACCAAAGCCGAGCTCATTATGCAAATAGGTTATTCCTGAAAGTTTCACACCCTGGAAAACAGCATCTCACACCTCTCCTTCGAGCTGGCCTTTTCCTTAGTGCCTTCTGCCTGGAGCACGGCACGCAGCCCTACCACCCCCAAATGCCCTATTCTCTCAAATGGAAAATAAACCCAACCTAATTAGCTTTCTTCCCCAAACATTATTCCCACAGAACAAGTTCCACACAAAGTCTGAGGCTTGCTGAAAACACGGCATTTCACTCTGAGTTTC